GCAGCAGGGTGGGCGGTACACCAACAGAATCCCTAATCTGTCTTGCAAGCCCAACACACAATACAGGCCCTCTAGACCTCCTCTCAAAGAGATAGGAAGTCTGGTCAAGGAGATAGAACTCCTATAGACTATAGCAACTCCCCCTCCCCAACCCTCCGAGCGACCTTGGTGCTGGACCGAGTACCCAGGCGGACACAGCTGGGAGAGGGGGACACCACCTTCCTCTCCCACCCAGGTCTCAGTAATGCACGCCAGGTCAGCCCCCTCATCCAGAATTACATCATGGATGAGGGCAGTTTTGTTTTGTACTGACCTGGCATTCATCAACAGCACCATGTGGCTCGAGGGTTTGCTGATATGGTCACCTGATACCATCTGGTTGGGGGTAGGACTAGAAGAGGGGATAGATGTAAGGTATCTAACCTCTCTTCTCCTATGTGGGCATGTTCTACCCCCTTCGGCCGGAACGGATTAATTCTATTTCAATGTATTTCAATAGGAAATGGTGCTTCAACTTACAACCATTTTCCAGAATGGATTAAGGTCATAAGTCGAGGCACCACTTACCCCAAACACACATACCCCATATTCAATCACTCAGTAACCACAGTCAACAGTTGAAAAACTCCCTTGGCCCATTGCTCCTAGTCTGCAGGAGTAACCTAATTGACCAGTTAGTTCAGCAAGCACAGTCAATTTCAGTACAGCTGCAAGCAACCTATTCAACAAAGGATCTTCACCTGAAGCTCCCATTACATTACAACTATAGTCTTTTCAGTTACTACATATGATTGTAAAAAAACAAACAAACCCAAAACAGTTAATTCACAATATAGTGTTGGAGGTGAGCTCAGTGAAAGAGAAATTAGTCTTTTCAAAAAGACAAATAAGTGCATTCAAACCAAGCCTGAACTCTCTCCGCAAATAAGAATGACTAAATGGAGGCTATCACACTTCGGGTACATCATGAGAAGACAAAAGTCATTGGAAAAGACAATAACGCTGGGAAACACTGAAGATATTGGTGAAAGCGGAAGACCGAACCTGAGAGGGATTGACATAATAAAGTCTTCAGTCTGCGAGACCTATCCTTAGTGATCCTAAGGCATTTTGGAGGTCACTGATAGGACCATCATAAATTGGAAGCACATGGACGGCACATAGCAACATCACCTTATTTTTTAAAAAAAAACTGTAATAATTGCCTCTAAAATCAGAAGGGATGGGGTATTTGAGGGGGAGAGACAGATGAAGCCATCTTCCCTGACCATTAAAAAAAAAACTCCCCAGGAAGCCTGGCTCCAATCTACTGCTGGATAAGCATGAATGCATGTATGAGAACCCAAATACTATCCGCCACAGCATGGTTTCATATCCTTATTTTGCGAGTCCACAGACCAGAAGGGGCCACAAGTGACTGTTCTGGCAACTTTGAAATAGTTAATAAAAAGGAAACGCCGAAAATTGCCCGAACAACCCGCCCTGAAGCATCCCCAAGAAACCAATAGCAGCGGCGGCGGGAGGGAGTTAGGGGGAGAAGGAAAAGAAAGAGAAGCCCAACCAATTAGCAGGAAATGAGCAACAACTTCTGAAGAAAACTCTCTCGTGAAACAAGGAGGTTCTCTCCAGGCGGCCGGGAATGGCAGAAACTCGGGAGGTGGGCAGAAAACGAGGCGAGGGCATCGCCTTCGGAGCTGCTAAGAGGGAAGGCCGAGCTCTCTCGCGGCGGGAAGCGCTTACCTCCGGCGGAGAAGCCGCCCGCTCAGGATCCCGGGCGAAGAAGCGAGCTGCTAAGAAGGCAGGCCGAGCTCTCTCGCGGCTGGAAGCGCTTACCTCCGGCGGGGAAGCCGCCCGCTCAGGATCCCGGCGAAGAAGCGAGGAGCCCGCCGCGCCGCCCGGTCGGTCGGTTTGACGAAGCCGCTGCCTCCAAGCCTCCCTCCCTCCCTCCGCGGGGCCGCCCACAGACTTCCTCCCCGTGGCACTCGCTGCCTTCCGAAGGCAGGCCGAGCTCTCTCGCGGCTGGAAGCGCTTACCTCCGGCGGGGAAGCCGCCCGCTCAGGATCCCGGCGAAGAAGCGAGGAGCCCGCCGCGCCGCCCGGTCGGTCGGTTTGACGAAGCCGCTGCCTCCAAGCCTCCCTCCCTCCCTCCGCGGGGCCGCCCACAGACTTCCTCCCCGTGGCACTCGCTGCCTTCCGAGGAAATGGCGTGTGCGGGCAGAGCCCCGTGGAATGCCCATCTTTCGGGGGACATGTGTCGACATCTCAGTGGCGCAGAAGGAAAGGGACGTGCGGCCCGAAGAGAGCTGGGCTGCCCCGCAGTCCTGAGCGCCCTGGTGTAGGGATAGATTTGGGGCTGCAGGTGTTCATCCTGACAGTCTCCACGGCAGCCCCTCCACACACACAGAGAGTAGAGCCCAACACTAGAGGCAGCTGGCTGCACCTAGGTCAACAGATGAGGAGCAGGTTTTTGGTAAAGCTAGTGACTCTTAAATTACTATTAAAAGTACCCAGCTTGCTGGGGGGGGGGGGGAAGGTGTACCCTTGACATAGATGGAGCCAGCTGCCTCCATCTCTGGGCTCTGCCCAATTTAATTTAATGTCAATTAATAATAATGTTAATAATAAATAATAGTACTTAAATTAATAATTGTAATTAAATTACTATTTAAAGCTGAATTACCCTCAAAATCTTTTGCATTACAACAAGGATAGCTTACAACACTATACTAGACTTTGGTTTTAGAAGAAATAACAGCTATGTGTGGATTCAATAAGAAGTGGACATGGGAAGGGATGAATGAATGATCATCTCTTCTTCTAGAAGAACAAGGGGTAAGGAGTTCCAGTTAGGAAAATCCCAACCTCTATCATATGAGATCTTCTTGGATTCTAAAGCTTCAGTCTTAGACTAGCCTATCTAAGAGTAATCCTCATTAAACTCTCAGTGGGACTTATTTCCAAGTAAACATAGTGAAAGGACTGTTTCGTCAATTCAAGGTATGTGGGCTGGATAGCTCAGTGGTTTAGGTAGGCTGGGAGTTCGGTTCCCCACAGTGTTCCTCCTGTGAGTAAAGCCAGCCTGTGTGGCCTTGGGCAAGTTGCAGAGGCCCAGGGTGACCCCAGAAGAAGGGAAGGACAACCTACTTCTGAGTACTATATATCTAGAAAATCCTGAAAAGCTTTTGACTTGACAGGACATGATTATGTATTAATAGTAGTAGCTGTTTTTCTTCTCAGGTTTTCACCAGGAAAACACTTTCTAATCAAGTGACTCACTTCATTCCTGTGGCAAAAAGAAAGAGAAAAGAGAGGGCTCACTCACACAAGAATAATCATGTTGCTTTAGTCTGTGACCAAGGATTCGCTCAGCGATCTGGGCTCTGGCTACGGAGCCAGAGTTTGCGAGTTTGATTTCCCTCTGTGCCTCTCTGGCAGGAGTTGGACTTGATGATCCATAGGGTCCCTTCCAGCTCTGCAGTTTCAAATCATCATCATCATGATGTGTTTCCTCCTCCTCCTTTGCTATCGGAATAGCTCCAGTGAGTAGCATTTGTCGAAGACAGATTTGGAGGAACCCATGTTTTGCTCTTCATCCTACAGAGTGGTCTCACATTCGACTGCTGCCATCTCCAGATTGCAGAGCTGGGAAAGCAAGACAGAGGGGCTACTACATCTTAATTTTTAGGTCTAGAGGGGTGGGGTGTAAATTTAATAAATAAATAAATAAATAAATAAATATTTCAAAGAGCTTGTGGAGGCTGTTTATTTTTGGCTGGTATTTTTTGTGGGGGGGGGAGGAGGACATACCTCTAATTTACACAGCGAACCACTGCGAACTGCTGTTTTTCCATGCCACTTTTTAACCAGCAAGAAGAGTCATGATGAACTATTTTGGTGGGTTTCGGACGGGGCTGATTTCCTACCATGCTTCATCTCAGAATTCTGTTTCACGCTGTGATAACTTTCATTGCCTGGATCCTTAGCAGGCACTATCATCCATGCACGTGTAGGCCAAGATCCTCATTCATACAGGTCTGCTAGTTTTTCCAACTTCAAACCCCCCCCCTTAGATCCTGCTATTTCCTGCTCAGTTTAAGTACAATTCTACTCTTATTGTTTCCCCTCAGTATCATGCCATCCTGATAATATGTTGGCAAAGCAACATGAAAACCACAAACATCTCTGGATACATGCTCGAGACCTGAGTAAGGTTCTGGAAACATGGCATTATCATAAATTATCGCAATCCCACCCACCTCGGCCAGTACTGGCGTAAAGGAAGTATGTTAGGTGGCATATAACAGGTACGTAATAAGTTGTGGTAAGAACTGAAAGGGAGAAAAATTGACATATGATCTGAAACTGTGTGGTAACAGCCAGCATCTGTTTCCCCTCACTGGGGGTATAGCCTGATTTAATAGAAGCCATATTATTCTGCCACCACCCAAGCATGTGACAGCTGCTTTATGTTACTGTATATGCCAGTAATCCCAGCTTCAAGCAATCCAAAACTCAACAAAGTTCAAAGTGTATTTCTGCAAAGCACAGAAACTATGTGTGTGACTACAGAGCAGTGTTTCCCAACTTTGGGTCCCCAGAAGTTCTTGAACTAAAACTCCTAGAAATGCTGGCCAATGCAGCTAGTGCTGAAAGTTTCTGGGAGTTGTTGTTGTTGTTAATTATTAATTATGCCACATTTCTCCCAACAAGGGACCCAAGGTGGCTCACAACATTAAAATTCACACAATTAAAATCACAATAGACAAATTAAACAATATATGATTTAAAATTAAATTAGAAGATTGAAACATGAAAACATGGAAAAGATTAAAATTATCTGCTAAAATGAGGTTCAGGGATTCAGTTCTAATTGTTAAAAGCCTGCCTGAAGAGTTGGGTCTTTAGCTTTTTTCGGAAGGATAAAAGGGAAGGGGCCATCCTGATTTCTAGAGGGAGAGTGTTCCATAGCCTGGGGAGCGGCCACCGAGAAGGCCCTCTCCCGTGTCCCCATCAGCAGTGCTTGTGCTGGCAATGCGACCGAGAGGAGGGCCTCCTTTGGTGATCTTAATTGCCAAGAAGGCGCATATAGGTTTTAGTCTAAGAACACCTGGGGATTCAAAGTTGGGAACTACTGCTATAGAGACAGAACAATTATTTGCTTGCCACCGCATGTGCTATAGGTCATAGAATTAGCATAACTTAAATCAGCAGCCATTTGCTGAAAACTTGTATAAAACAAGCCTAGATGAGTACAGACCCCATATAGCACTTTTGTCTTCATAGCTTTATTGTGTTAACTTATTTAAGCAGTTCTCTAGACACAATTTATACAAATCAAACAGTGGCCCTTGTTCTAGCAGAGCATCCAACAGGGACAGTACAACTGGGGCTGTGTATTTTAATGCTAAATATGGACTGTAATCTACCAAAACAAAAAACCAAACCAGAAAACATCCAGAATGCAGGCACAGTTTCCCAGCTTTCATTATTCTTTCCAGGATTTGTTGCTCAGGAAACACTGGACAGTACTGATTATATGGCTGTTTTGCTACAAGAGTTGCAAGATAACATAAACCTTTGGTAACTTCCTTGTTAGTACCATTTAAAAGGTATTGGGTTTTCTTTAGGTCATCCCATCGCGTGTAGGAGGGGGGAAAGACCGACTGGTGGAGCAGGCGGATATCCATGTACAAAATGCAATGAAATAGCATATGATGCAGAGATTCAGTTTTCCCCTGGCCACATGGACAGGTTCTCAGGTCTGTAGGTCACTGGACAATACTGATTATATGGCTGTTTTGCTTCAAGAGTTGCAAGATAACATAAACCTTTGGCCGCAAAACATTAACCAGAAAATGCCTGCTTCACTTAATTGAAGTTGCTTATTTTTGTTTTTCCTTTGTCCAAAGAAGTTGCTGAGTAGTTTTTTCCCTTTTTTCCAAAGAAGGGTGCACATCCAAATCTTTAAGCATTTCCCGTAGCAACAAGTAAAAGCATCCAATGAATATTGCTATCTGAGTATGGGTACACCCTCATCATAATCAGGTCCTTATCAACCATCCTGGCCAGCCTGCCTGCTTCCCTAACACTGGAGCTTTGCCTTCATCACATTGCAGCTAAATAAATGCTGCTATTTCCTGGTTAATCTGAGTACACTTTTACATCTGTACTCTTATTCTTTGTCCTTGTTGGATGGACATGCTGTCATGGTTGCACGTAAGTAAAATGGTGTGAAAATTACAAGCAACCCTGAACATATGACTAGAGGCCTCATGGTTTATTGGATACATTTGATTGACTTTGTCCCTTCCCTGATGCTACAATTACATGACTAGGGAAAATGGTATCATTATGAATGATCCCAACACCGAAGGCCCCCAACCCCCGGGCAGCGTTAGCATAAAGGAAGTGAGTATACCACATAGCACACAACATGCAGAAGTGTGAGGAGGCTTTGATGGCCACACGCATGGCGTCCAATGCTGATCCCCTTATCATGGCTCCCTGGGAGTGGCCCACATGATAACAATGTGCAGACCAAAGCAAGGGGGAAGGGAGAAGAGTGGGAAGAGTAAGAGCAGTGTGGAAGAGGCATGTAATAGATTGTTGTAGGAACTACAAGGTAAATACATTATCGTACAGTAGGAAGCTGCATGATGACAAATTTGTTTTCCACCCATTGCAAGTAATTTAAAAGTGTTTTTCAGAGAAGGAAGCACAAGAACTGCTTATTTCATGGGAAGCCTCTGAAGATAACTGCATCTCATGGGAATGCTGCAAACCACTTAAAAACAATTTTATTCTTATATAAAAGTATTTGCCGAAGTGCTGTTACGGGATGTGAGATCATAACATCTTAAAGGTAAAGGTTCTCCTTGACATTTAGTCCAGTGGTGTCTGACTCTAGGGTGCGGTGCTCATCCCCGTTTCCAAGCCATA